AGACAAAAGGGACGATAGTAAGATTTCCCCATGTTTAGCACACGCAAGAAACGTAGAAAGATTCGCTACCTACTGCTATCTTCCAAATTCCTTGGCGATCACATCTGGAGATATTGTATCCCGAGTGGGCCGCCTCGTGCGACATCACTAACAGCCGCCGCTTTATTCTCTGCCCAAAAGCCGTGTCACGTAATCTGTAGCTATTTTTCATCCCTCGAGAAAAGAAGGCACGCGCACTTTGTTGAAAAGGAGCGTCTGATTCCTCTCGCTTTGTACAGTGGTCTTTGCATGAATAGAATTCAAACAAGAAGAAGAAGACGACGACGACGAAGAAAAATGTTGCTAACCCGTGATTCATGCATGCATGCGTGCATGGAGGTGGTGAGCAAACGGAGAACATGTTGGAGCATGTAACGCTGTTCGGTGGCCTCATGTTGGAGTTGTGCCTGGCGAAGCTCTCCTCCATCTTGTGTTCGCCACTAATTTACTTGCACTCCACCGGACGCGTGGATTTGGAGGCCTTTTGTGGAATACTTTGACCACATCTTGGAAGTCAATTTGAGATTGGAAATAGGGAACATCGATCTCCTTAAGCAAACATAGAATCCCTTCGTCCAAGTTTAGACCTAACTTCACGTTCATTAACACAAGCTTTTTTGGCCATCAAATTTATACTTCACTTGTTATTCCTTCTCAGTCAAGATTTTTATCGACTCAGCTAGCTAACATCTTCGTTAACACGATGATGATGATGATGATGATGATGATGATGATGATGATGCACTTTAAGCAATCAATGGTCAGTGGTTAGCTCTATTGTTTAATGGCACTTAATATTTTAGCGTAAAGGCAACCTTTTTATTCTTATTATTAGTCAAAGTGTTGGCTTTTGGTGCTTTCTTCCTTTAGAGAGGAAGATCATTTCGTTTCAAATATAAAGTTGACTTTGTGTTCGTTGAAGGTCAAAAAAATTATATTCTCTTTGTCGATCAAGTCGTGAGTGCAGCATCACAAATCCAAATAAATTAGTGTTTATCTTCTGGTCAAAGCATCCATGTAGATAACAAAAAAAAAAAAAAAAAAATTTCATCATCATAATTTATCACATGGAATCGTAATCTCTAAGTATGCTTAAAGCTAAAAGAAACCTAATTAAATTTCAAACCCCTCCCACGCATATACAATTATGTTAATATTTCTTAAAAATCAAATAACGTTGAGATGAATCAAATCAAATTGTGCAAAAATGATGCCGATCCAACCTAAAAAGTTAAAAGCTTGTAAGTTAAACGATCAGATTAGTCTCTCTCTTTTTTATTTTCATCTCGTACATGAATATTTTTCTAACATAAATGACTTTCTAATGCTTAAGGCAGCGTTTGTTCGAGTTGGGTAACAAAGTACCGAGAAGGTTTTTAGAGTGTTTCAGAAGCTTTTAATCAGGAGGTGTCGATATATGCGGTAATAATTGGCCATAAGAAAGAACTATTATTGTTGGGATGTCATGCTCATGGTAACTTAATTGACCACATCAATCGACGATCTTAGTTGATTTACCCCACGAGTGAAGTCCGGATTCATCGAGAGTACCGACCCAATCAATCAAGCTTTGTGGAGAGAGAGATGGTGGCAGCATCCATGGATGGCTCTCTGGTGATAGTATGGGGTCGGAGAGGGGCATCAGAGCCTTCTGGCCAAAGTGGATGGCAGCAATGCGCCAACTTTGTGCGCTTTTTAAAGTGGCGCCACCGCCTTCGTGCATGGCCCATGCACGCACGCACGCAAAAATGCCCTCCTTTGCCTCTTAATCCATCATCAATCATCATCAGCTACTGCTGCCTTAGCCTCCGAGCAAAGGCTTTGCAGTCTCCACCGCTTCTATGTTGCTGTGCGTGATCATAAATTCATGCACATCAACTAAGATTTCATGGGAAAGTTGACCTTCTTCTTTTGCATTCCCCAGTAATTAGGTTCAAAAGTGGCCGAATCAACCACAAGTTTGCAGCGTGGGAGAAGAACCTCTGAGAGAGGCAAAAGCCAGTTGTGGGGGGCTCCAGAAATGGCTGTCATGATATGGATGTGCAGCGCCTCCAGGATTCTCTTGCCACAGTGCTACTTTGTGGTAGTCAGTGAGATGAGCATCTTTAGAACCCAATACATAGTGAAAGAAAAAGACATTGTGGACCAAAACATAGAAGGAATGAGATCTCCAGCTTTGCACCTTTTGTTTGGCAACGCTGACATGAAGAATCCGCTTCTTGCTTCGGGAAGAAGCACTACCTCTCTCTCTCTCTCTCAACAGCATGGTACAACAAAGCATGACTGGATCATATATTGGAGATAACAAAGGCAACAAAGCCACCATCAGGCTCTTGGTGAGCTTGCTTTGGACTCCCAGTTGACTCTCCATTGCGTGGACCTCACCAGTTCGTCTTGTTCTTGGAGTGCGAACGGAGTCAACAAAGAAGCAACCCTGTATCCCACTCCCACTCCCAGCAACAGCATGTGGCTTGGCTTTCAGCCTGCAAAGCTCTCTCGAGCAGCTTTTCATGTTTGCATGATTGCTTCGGGGGCCGACGTTATCGTCCAAACGAAAGCTGCTCCTTTAGACGTGAGGCTCTAGTTGGATCGAAGGTTAATTTTAGCCTTGATCGATCTCACGATAAGAATGGAAAGAATGGTGAAGCTCGCGAGATATTTCTTTCGCCAGGACCCTCCTAATCTCCAAGGAAAAGGAATGGTCCGAAAGCGTCCATCGCTTGGATGCAGCCAAAAGCAAGGAATAAAAATGAATCTCTACTATTATCAATTGGGCATCACATTCCTACCTTTTCGGCTTTGGTTTGACAGCTCCAGCTTGTGATCCCAAATCTGGATTTGTGAATGTCGTCGTCAGCTGGGGAATTCCCTTTCCATGCTCTATCCTTAGCCTTTCAAGGCGTGTGTGTGGGTATAAATATGTATATTTGCATGTACATATTCCTCTCGCAGTCAATAAAGAAGTGTAAAGAAAGGCCAAGGGAGGCGATAAAGTTGCACGTATGTGACGAACACGCTTTACCTCCATCTCCTAGTGTTTTAGATGCCAATCCATCCATTTGCAGCACAGACAGAGCATCACCGATGGAAGGTGACCATTCATTTTGCTTTTGACGAATGCTATTCAGAAAGGAAAACATTCATCATTATCTCATCATATTCAGCAGATTACCTCTCCAAAACAATATTCTTCTTTTTAGCCACTGTCAATATTATCTATACCTCCTTAATCTCTCTCTCTCTCTCTCTCTCTCTCTCTACTTATCAGTGAACGTTTAACACCATGAATTATTATTGTACGATAATAAAAGAAAACATTTGAAGTAATTATTTTAATAGAAAAAACTTTAATGCTAAATCTTCAAGTATTATAATCAATAGGATACTTTGGATATTAAAAAAACACTATGTCGTAGATCAAAAAGCTAAACCCTTATGTTCTCTTTCTACTTCACTCTCTTCGTGAGATATCCTGAGAAGTTACTATCATTCTGTCATGATGTAGATAAGAATGTTCAAAAATATAATTAGTAGAATGTTATCTTCCAAATTTTCTAAGATATAAACTTCCCTATTTGTCATAATTTTAATTGAGATCTAATTATTTTTTAATATATTTTATACTTAAGTATTTTACCAAGCTGTAACTAATCATTGTTTCTTGCTTCTTTACAGTACTACAAAAACTTCGTATAATCTCTTTTCTTGCTTTATCTATCTATATATATATATATATACATACAAACATAAATGATCATGACAAGTCAAAGTTGCCTATCCTTGAAATCACGAAAATGTAGGCATTTTTCACAATGTAACTTAAAAATGCAATATGAAATTGACCGATTCTATCGCTATCTTTTTGTATCAGTCAACAATTTAATGAGGTCTTTTCTTTGGACTATATTTGTCAGAAAAGCATGATCGGACTTTATGAGTTGCTTCCAAGTTTTCCTCCAATTACTTCATTCTACAAAGCTTGCCTACTTTTAGACAACCATTCAAACATCATTAAACAGACAGTCCCAAGACGGCTCACGGAGCCTTCCTTACTGCACCGATTTGTCGGACTCTCATCAATTTCATTTATATTTTTCAAACACGTCCGCAACTTTCATGTCACTACTCAAATTTGATACGTAGAGCTCCTCTGACGTCATCATTGGTCAAAACATGATGTCAATTATTTCTCCAAAAAATAATTTCAAGTTAATATAAAAATATATGTATAATTTTAATATATGATCAAATATATAATAATTATATTTGATCCTAATCTTGTTTTGGGTGTAATGTTACTATCCAGATTTGATAGACTAACAAATTCTAACAAGATATATATATATGAGACACGTAATCCCAATCAGAACCTGCAGCCTGAGCGAGGTATTGCAGCAGATATAATCCAGGGTAGGTTGGGGAGCGAGTGTGTCGAGCTGTCGTCCCCGTGGATCAAAACCAACGTCACGAGCAGCCCCTGACTCGCTCGCCCTCCTTCCAACCCCCAACCGAACCGGCCACGTTTGTGGGGCTCAACAGCAACGCCACCTCCCCTCCCGCTCACCACATCAATCACCCAATACAACCAAAACGCGCAGTCAATTGATTGCTTTCCGTAGCGGCTTCCTTCTCGTGCGTGACAACCCCAAGTCACCAAGGCGGATTACAGATCACTCTTAACCGCCCACGTGTACTCACGATTCTTATCATCGTAACGACCTCGCTTCTGTTGACTTCCCGGTCGCCATCTCAAATGTGTTCCTCACACACGCACGTACATACAGAAGTCGGTGCGTGCGGCCATGGTCGCTGTGCGCTGTACCGTATGTATGGATACACTTTTGACGGGCGTTGCGAAGTGGTGTCATCGCCTGCATGCCATTACACCACTCACTGACAGGTATAAAAGGGGGGCAGATTACCGGAGAGACATTGCATCCCGTAGCACCTCTCCACCCCCACCCCCACCCCCACCCCAAACCCCGCCTCGCTTACCCGTCGCATCCCTCGCGGTTCGGAGGAGGAAATAGGAGATCAGGTGGTACGAGAAATCCTTCCGACCCTCGTTTCTTCTCTCCTCTCCCTCGCTTTCTTTTTCCTCCGTCTTGCGTCGAACCGCTCGGCCTTCGCTTGCGAATCCGTCAAGAACCCACTTCTTGAATCCACCCTACCCTGACTTGGCCAAGATTTTTTTGTTTCGCCCCTTGTTTTGGTGCAGATCGAGGCGGGATTGGCTTCTCTCTGATCCTTGTGCGCTGGTCCTTCTTTCTTTTACCTGTGTTTGCGATCGATCCTTCTCATCGCCGTAGGGTTTTCTCCGTGTTCTTTCTTGCTTCTTGGGTTTGAGTTGTGGATCTACGGCGGTTGGTCTCGTGGTTCTTGATCTCCTTGAATCGCCATTGATTGATTTCGAGCAACTCGCGTGTTCGTCGAATGGAACAGGTGAGATGGGAGGGTGGGCCTCAAGAGACCCGTAGCGGGACCACCGCTTCCGCACCACTCCCTCCCGTAACCGACCCCATCCCGATTCCCCTCGTTCTTTGTCACGTTCCTCGACGATCACATAACCTGGACTAGGATTAGTCCGTACCGAGAGGAGGAGGAAGCGGAGACTTGAGAAGACAATAGATCATCGACATCCGCACAGAGAGTTAGTAATGTGGCCACCGAAGGGCACCTTCGCCGAGCCGCCTGCCGTCGACGGATAGAACTCCCCGGGCTTCCTTTGTCGATGACGAATTTGTTTGTGTCTGTCGCGTGTGCTGGACAGCGGCTAACGGCGCTCATCCCTGTCCGAATGCAGGGCGGCCGGCATCTGCTTGAATGAGGCCGGCATCCGGGCAGCCGCCGGACGAGCAGCGGGGCATGCAGGGGTCCAAGTACGGCGGCAGCCGGAACCCCACGCGGGTCGAGCGGCTGCTGCGCGACAGAGAGCTTAGGAAGATAAATAGAGCGTTCCAGCAAGACGAGGCTGGCGGCAACGGTGGCCGGGAGGCTGAGTCCTCTGAGCATCTGCCGGAGGATTGTGGAAGGGAGGTCGGGGGTGAGCCCGATGAAGAGATTGTCGATGGGTCCTTGGCGCCGGTGATCACAACGGGACAGGGAAGTAGGAGGAGCGGGGGAAGACCCATGAAGCAGCGGCTGCTGGTTGTGGCAAATAGGCTGCCCGTCTCTGCGGTCCGGCGAGGGGAGGATTCCTGGTCGTTGGAGATCAGTGCCGGTGGACTTGTCAGCGCTCTGCTCGGTAAGTCTGCTCTCTCAGTTTCCAAATGCTCTCTGGGATGTATGATAGGTGCACTATATCGATCGTTAGTTTTCTGCTGTTGCCGCTGCACCTTGGAATCCCTTTTCTTTGAAGAAAATAACGATTGTAGAACGAGATATTGTTTTTGTATATGAATTTAGGTTAAAGCCACACAATTTTTTTGCATGTTTTTTTGGAACTCGTGCATATGAGATACTCCATCTTGTTCACATATTTGTCTTGTTCATGCATGCAAAGAAGAGCACAATTGACATGGTTATCAGGTGCTCCGTTTGACATAATGCATGTTCTTCAGAGAAGGGAAAGCTTATTTTTCTTGTTTCTTCAACATCGTAGGTGTAAAGGATGTTGATGCTAAGTGGATTGGATGGGCCGGTGTCAGTGTGCCAGATGAAGTTGGGCAGAGAGCACTCACAAAGGCATTGGCTGAAAAGGTCCTGTCTAAACTTGAGTATCTGCCTCTCCTGTTTTAGATTTTGATGATTCTGCCCTTGAAACCATACAAAATAATCGGATTTCACTCAGGTGGCCTATGCTTTTCTTTTGAGCATAGATGCCTGTTATTTTTCCTGATAAAGGTCTACAAAATCATTACTATAACGAGTTGTTTATTTCAAGCAGAGATGCATTCCAGTTTTTCTTGATGAAGAAATAGTACATCAGTATTACAATGGCTACTGCAACAACATACTTTGGCCTCTCTTTCATTACCTTGGGCTTCCACAAGAAGATCGTCTAGCGACCACTCGTAGTTTCCAATCTCAGTTTGATGCTTATAAGCGGGCAAACCAGATGTTTGCTGATGTTGTGAACAAGCATTACCAAGAAGGGGATGTTGTTTGGTGCCATGATTATCATCTCATGTTTCTTCCTAAGTGTCTTAAGGAATACAATAGCAAGATGAAAGTGGGTTGGTTTCTTCACACTCCTTTCCCTTCCTCAGAAATCCACAGAACCCTGCCGTCTCGGTCTGAGTTACTAAGATCAGTTCTTGCAGCTGATCTGGTCGGGTAAGCAGGCATTTTCCATCTTGACGCACTTCGTATAATGTTATAACATTGAATTTCCATGCACTCCCAATTTTGGAAAGCTAGGAATGCAGTCTTGGTCTCATGCTTGTGATGTTAGTGCAGTTATGTGTATTGTCTTTTCTGGTTTATTTTGCCCCATTAAGGTTTATATTCAATGGATTTGGTGTAACATGATTCGGAATGAAGGAAAACTAGCACTAGTTCATGGTGAGGATTGTTGTCAGTTAACATTCTGACAAACGAGTGGTATTTGGAAAACTAAATTCTGCTTCAGAATTTAAAGCAGCTTCCTTCTCATCTTGTTGGTTTCATTTCTTCATTTTTATTGTTATGGAGACTTTTTGTCTTATTTGACTAATTATTTATAGCAGGTAACTTTTGATTACCATTGTTATCTAACATTTTGTTGGAGGATGTTTTTCTCCCTTAGGAGAATATATGATAAAATCTTTTGCTCATTGGATTTGCTCTTCTTGAGAATAATGATTAGAATAGTTATCCATAGATTCATATGGGCCAAATTACATATAATTTTTTTTTTCAATTGCCAATGCATAACCTAATGGATGAATTATCTGGCACTTCAATGCAACTGACATGCACATGCATAGATCCCTCTGTTTTAAAGGAGAAGGCGAAGAGGATAGAGTTTAAAAGGATAACACATGACTTGAGGAAAGTTAATGAGCTGAGTGTGGATAAAGTGATAATTGATTAGCTGAAAGTGTTGATGATGATTTAGAGCTTAAAGTATCTTTCAATTTTTTTTCAAAAAATAACATGATTCTTTTATGTTGAAAAGTTTAAAACCAAAGTTAATATATAATGTCGTATTGAACTCTTGCACGTAAAAGGATCAAGGATTTATCTATCATTCATTATAGTGCAGCATGAGATTAATAATCTCTCTCTTTTGTCATCATTGTATTAACTTGCATTTGTGAAGATTGTAGTCTTTTTTTTGTTTTTACAGAAAATGGCATATACATAGTTATGGCCAATGTTAGACAGTTTTTTTTGGCTAACATTTAGATTAAGATTGATGGTTGCAACTTGCAAATGGTGGCATCCTTGCCCCTTTAGTGATTGATCTTTTCTTGGTTTGTTTCAATTAGATTTAACTTGTGCAGCTCTTGCTAACTGCAGCAAGAATTCTAGAATCTTTGGATTACTTCTGCAATTTTATAATTCTTGTTTGATAGTTGGAAGAAACTAATTTGTTTTTTGTGTATGACTAAATCTTAATTGCCTGAGCAGAAGAAAGGATCACTTTTGCTTTTCTCTCATAGAACTAGTGATCTACATGTAGTTTATTGAATGTATGAATTTCCAAACATCACTTCAAAATTTTTGTTTTTGAATGAATGAGAAAGTCACCTTTGCTGTTTCCTAACTTATTCTCTTGCCTCTGTGACAGATTATTTTGGTTTTGAATTGAGATGCATATGACATTCTGCATCATATGCATACAATTTTGTCCTGTCTTCAGACCAAAAATTTGCATAAATCTTACTGTCTGTGTTTTGATGTGACAAATTTTAATTAATAATGATGCTAACATCGTGCAGAAATTTTCGTTTGACAAATTTGCTATTAGAGTACTTGTGCTTTACATGTACTGTACAGAGTTCTGTGGTTCTCTTCTGATTCATCGATGGCATGGTTGATGGTGATTGTTTGTTTCCAGATATGGAATGTGTTCTCTGTGGCATTGGAATTTTTCAGGAGATTAATAGACTAATGATTAAAGGCATACAACCGCTGCCTTTGATTTTGGCTCATTTTATATGTATATTTGTATTACTAACACTGCATGACATCTTACCAGATAAGCCATGAGTTTCACTTTTGTTTATTTTCTTTTCTTTAGGAGTTCAATTAGAATTTTATTCTTTCCCTTGCATTTGTTTTGGCCAGGGTTGAAGGTCATTATTGTTCAGTGCCTGCCTCATGAGCTTTTTTCACCAGCCAGTGGTTTCATCATGTAAATTGTTACTGCAGGTTCCACACATATGATTATGCTAGGCATTTTGTTAGTGCTTGCACTCGCATTCTTGGGCTGGAGGGCACACCTGAAGGGGTGGAAGATCAAGGACGGCTGACTAGGGTGGCTGCGGTATAGTTGAATTGCTTAATTTCTGATGGCATTTGACTCTTCCATCAGTATTCCAAAGTGTGACGTATCATTACTTTGTTTGTTGGCTAGGTTTCAACCAAGGAAAAAACAAATGCATTGATAGTTTTGGTTACAAATAATTGCTCGAGTTGGTGTTTTTTTTTCCTTCTAATTTTTATTTTGAAACCTCAGTTTCCAATTGGAATAGACTCCGACCGGTTTAAACGAGCACTTGAGCTTCCAGCTGTCAAAGAGCACATCAATGAGCTGACACACAGATTTGCAGGTCGAAAGGTAAGTAACAGGATAATTTATCTCCGCAACCTACATAATTTATTAAATTTTATAGGTCCCAGCGAGCAGGATTTTCAAATAGCCAATGCAATCTCACCAATGTTGTTAGTTAGATGCTTGACATGACAAACCAGTGACATTGTAAAATTAGTTTGAATCACAAACTTGCCAATTCTTCTGGACCACTCATTTTAAGATTGCCAAGGTTACTTTTTCTTGTTATGATCTTACATTTTTGGCAAAAGTTTTTTTATAAGTGAAAACATGCCCTACTTTATGACCCTTTTTTGTTTTGTTATATTGCCTTTGGATAAATTTGGATAGTTCTAGGACTAGTACAGTCCAATTATGTGTGTCCGAGTCAAAGTATGAGGGGGACCCTGGTGAGAACTACTCCAGATATACTGTGGCTTTAGTTAAATTAGAGAGTTCCCTAGTGCAATAAATCTAATTAGAGCAAATGACCATCTTCATATTGAACTAGCACGAAAATGAACTGACAAGAAAAATGTTCAATTGCAATTAGAGTGCAATAGTAAAAAAATGATTTGATTAAGAATGCAGTCTAACATCTGTCATGATTCATGAGAACAAAGCAATCTGAGATTAATTTGTTGATGTGAATAACGTGTGTGAAGTCGGAAGCATTTTATAGTTTGAAACAATGCAATATGACAACACTTCATGGGATTAATCCAATTGGTAAACCCTATTTATTGAGCCAAACATGTAAAAACTACATTCTAAGTTTTGCACAATCAATAACAATTATGATAACTGCCTATCAGATTATAAGATTTGGACATCCGGACCACTCTATGTTTGGATAAATTCACATGCATCTCATGTGCTAGATCTAGTTGTATTAAGGGATTGAGTGCAATAACTGGGGTAACTTTGTTGTGAGCCTTCTCAACTCTGTTTTCTCTTACAAACTTCTGGTTATCAAAACCTTGTAAAAATTTGCACCTTTTTTTTGGGTGTAATGGATCTACTTCACTGGTGATTTTGCATCGTTTTCCGTCAAATGCACTTGGCATTTTCTGAAATTTGTCACAATTGGAATTTGTTTAATGTGACAAATTAATTGTTTCTCAGCAATCACAAATTAGGCCCACTCACTTCTGCCTTGTGGTCATTTGATAAGAGCAACATGAATTCTCATCTCTCTCAAAATTTTGTAGCATATATTTAAGTATTCTATGACCATTCAGGTTTCTGGCTTTCTATATTAAAGCCTTATCCCTCAAAATTCGTTCCTTTATTCTTGATGTTGTTTACATATTCATTACTATGTTGGAGTTGCGCAATATCAACCTCCAGCTCAAAGGGTCCCAAGTGCTACGTTTCCATGAATAGCAGTAAAATTCAAAGGTAGAGCTTAGGTTTGACTGCTTTGTTTTGTTAGTAATTGTCACCTTGGTGAAGGAAAATTTTGTGCAAAGCATATATTCCTAAGCTCTAAGGAACTTAAATAAAGAAAAGTGATAATCAAGTATCTGTTCTTATCAAGGTTTTCCTTACAATCATTCCAGTAAAACTTAAATTATTTACAGATGTTGGGATGTTGACCTTGGTTCTGGAGGAGTAAAACAGGGGCTTGAATGAGCAAATTTTTTTCACATTGTAAGCCTATGCTTCTGGCTCAATTATCTGAAAATTGTTTTTCTTATAATTTCAACTTATACTTTATGAAGTGTGGATATAGTTACTTTATATTGTTACGACATAATTTGGATGCCTGGATATAAAGATTTGAAAATTGAAATATTTCATTATATAAAATTTACTTGCAGTGTTGGAATATAAAGATATGTAACATGATATATAATAACGATAACGAGGTAGAAAAGATAGCAAAAACATTTGACGAATGTATCAGGATCATCCTTTTAATTTCATCAGTTGTAAATTTATTCTTAGTATAATTATAATCAGTTTGTCTGAACAAACATTTAATGGTTCAGCCAGAAGGTAGCAATGAAGTATTCCTAGGTATCTTAAAGGATTACCTTTTTTTTTTAAGAGTATCTGGCAGAAGGTATCTATGAAGTATATCTAGGTGTCCTTAAGTATGACATTTTATAGAACTATTATTAAAAAGTATTGAACACATATATTAAGAATTATCTTGCATACGTCTAATGTGGATATAGCAAAATACAATGTATCTATGTCTCATAGATTATGCTTTGATACTTTGATTTATGAGGCCTATTACATAGATTCAGTGGAATAATTAACTAAGCTTGAATTCTTGGTCTAAGGTTCATTTCTGTTTTCTTGATCAGGATTGTGAATATTTAATGATGATCATTGTTATTCTTTCAGAAACCTTGCCTTCAAAGGTTCTCACATGTTCTTTGTATTTTTCTAATGTTGAGTCATTAGTGATGATTTAGTACTTGTTTTCCCTTTAATTGTTAGTTTAATCTCTTGATCGTAGCCCTAAATTTTGTCATATTCCAGTTACTTTGTATTATCAGTAAATCAACTATTTATTGGTAGGTAATGCTGGGTGTTGATCGTCTTGACATGATTAAGGGGATTCCACAGAAAATTTTGGCATTTGAGAAGTTCCTAGAAGAGAATCCATCTTGGCGTGATAAAGTAGTTCTGCTGCAAATTGCTGTGCCGACAAGAACTGATGTCCCTGAATGTATGTGTCTTTTCTTCTAACTAATTTGTTTGGTTCTACATAATAGCACAGTTCTCTCGAGCCATTTGTCTTTGGTACCAATACTGTGATTTACATTTCTTATAAGGTCTCCATTTCCCATGGCAACCCCAGAACTTACTGTTAGATTTTATGGAAAATCAGTTTTACCTGGTTTTCCTTGGGAATTAACTATGTCAACTAAGGATTGTGATGCCGATGAACACAACTTGGAATGTATTTGTCCTGGAGGGGCTTCTGTATATGGTGGATTGGGATGGAGGTGATGTATGGCTCGGCCAACATGTGGCCTAGGTCAGCTGGCAAATGAGCTTGCCGACTTATATGACACAAGATTGTGTCGTTGGATGGATCTTGGCATATGACCTCTTGCCATGCTACTTTGTCATTCGTCGGGAGATGCTTGTGTGTGTATCCTACAACATTCTCTATACTTTTTATTACATTTTACCATAACTTGTCACGTAAGAGGAGAGTTAATAGATGCCTTTTATGTGGATGTATGGGAAAGGCTAATGTACACATTCATTAGTCCTAAAACGACCATTCACTGAATCACAATTTAAATTAGGCACCAGGTAGATGTTTTAAGTTAAGAAACTTGACAAATGGCTCGTATACTTCTTTCTTACATACTTATTTAGTTTGAATCAACCATGCACACAATTTGAAATTGAAAACCATTATATTATGTTTGCTAGCTCTTGTATAGTACAAACAGTATATTATGTTCACTAGCTCTTCATGTTTATTCTTTTGAAATATTAGATTTTGTATCATATCTTAGTTTCTGATTGCTACTTTTTCTTATTAGACATGTTATATTTGTATGTTTTATCTGTCATTTTTAATCTTTTGGTAAATTCTAATCGTTATACTTAAGTATTTAGCAAGGATTGTCATTTCGAGTATCGAACCCATTTCGGTGATATAGTTAGACCAGTACATACCACTCAGTATCGGTATACCTGTAGGCATACCTGTAGGAAGAGGAAGGTGAAAGGAAAGAGAGGAGATGGTGAAGGAGGAAGAGGAAGGAGGAAGAGGCATACCAGTAGGCATCTGTGTGGGGTTGATGTCTACGATGAGCTCGATGCGGAGGTGTGTGGCTGTGCATCACTGAGGTGTGTGGCTGTGCATGACAAAGGTAGTGCATAGCGGTGTAGGAAGACGAGGAGGAAGGAGGAAGGAAACAGAGGAACTTGAAATTTCCTATGCAAGAGCAACTTGTATAGGAAATTTATGGCAATAAACAACATTACTTCACTGATTTTTGGTTCTAAGTAACTGTATTCTAAATTGCTCCTTTTTGTGAAACAGATCAAAAGCTTACTAGCCAGGTTCATGAAATTGTGGGTCGTATAAATGGTCGATTTGGAACACTTACTGCTGTTCCGATACACCATCTGGTTTGTTTCGACCACTATTCTTATGGTTTTTAATATCTCATCACTTCTATCTATTCATTTAGTTGTACACTGGAAGAGAGTCCGATATGCTTCGTTGGCATTACTACTTGTAGCAACTGTTCTATATTAACACAAAATATCTGTTACTGTTGTTACTGCTGTTGCTCAGGTCTATAGTAATTATAATGTCATTTTCCTGATAAAATCTTACAATAGACATACCAGGAATTGCTTTTAATCATGACTTGCAGACATTGATTTTTTTTTATTAGGGTAGCTTGCTTATTTTCCCACAGAAAAGATGTTAGCTCAGCTCCAATGCAACTTGTTAAAATTTTGAAGAACTACATAGATCAGTTGTTTGAAATTTGAATGATATCACATTGGCATATATGCTTTAAGCATGTATGTTTGTTGGTGAGAAATTTAATGACATCTGTGTTTTCTTGTATGTCTGAAATCCCCTGTAATAAGTTGAGTAGTTCCTGGAAAAGTAATGTGACCCTCTTTTAGTGACCCTAGATCCATATTGTGTGGCCCTTTTTTACCAACCCAAGCAAGAAACAAACTTGATAGAGCTTCTGTACTAAAGGGATATTGAGTTAATTATCATTAGCAATACAAAACATTCTTAACAATAAATATGTACATATTTAAAGACAAATATTGATAATTATTGACCTGAAAGGTCTTTAGTTACTTAGAAACTTAAGATGGATTGCCTCATTTGACATTTAGAATCACTCTATGATGGTTAAACAGCTTACATTTTTTATATTAATGATGGATTTACTATATAAGCTTATCCTGGATGAAACATACTTGATAAGTCCCTAGAACAGTGATGTTGATCATCTGCTAGTAGTTGTAGTTGCATGTTAACAAAAATGCACTCTTTTCACTAAAACAACCAGACAGGACAAGAATTTTGTTAATCTCTACATTGCTCATTCGTATCAAGATCATGTGGTTCCTGATTCTTGTTACTGAGAAATGTTCACCAAATTGTTCCGATTGGAGTTTTAAATTTGATGTACTTTTTTGGAGATTTATTTGTTTCCATCATTGTTCGAGATAATTTAATATGATTGAGAATTTTCTTATGAATTTGCAACTTAAATCCTGCTCATAAATTGGTTCTTGATACTTTTGATGGAGAATTTGCGCATAATGTTCAAGCTTAAGAGCTCAGTAACTACTTAACTACAGTGATTTTAAAAAGCTCTGGGTGTTAAAAGGCGCCAAGGTTCCAAAACGCTCGAGGCGTTAGGCACTTGCCCGAGTGAAGTGAGGCATTAAAATATAAAAAAATATATAATATAATCAATAAATATAATTATTTAAATAAAAATATGATATTAAATTAAGAAAATCTTAAGTATAAAGTTACAATGTCATGTTAACAAAGTCTCAAAATTCAAAACAATAAATAAAGTTAACAGTATTAAAATCAAAATAATATATTATTAATCTGATAAATAAAAAAATCTTGTTAATAGTATACTGTTAACAATATACTATTAGTGTAAGAAGAGAAGATACCGAGACTGTTGACTGATAGTAGAGGCTGCTGACTGAGAGTAGCGGTGAGCAGCGATAGCGGAGAGAGGCAGAGCGAAGAGCAACGACAAAACCGATTCCGACGAAAATGATTTTGATTCAATCCGTTTTGGAGAGAATTTGAACTTAAAAGCTTTTCGTAAAAGTGTAGAAGAAGATTAAAGAGATTTGTAGTAATGTAAATTGCACAAATGAAAAGCGTCGGTTTCATTAAATCTTCGTATGATTAAAAATGATCTCACAAGGTGTTTACTTGAAAGTGTATATGAGACATAAGCGTAGTAAAAGCACAGTTAGGAGGAGAGGCAGTTTGATATAAAAGTAAATTGCTCAAAGTAAATGCAAACTGAGTTTTAGAGTGGTTCGGTTAATGTGACCTATATCCACTTTAGGATTCCTCCTCCGACGAGGTCACCAGCGTCCACTAAAGGCCTTCCTTCAATAGATGAAGACCAATCACCTCTTTTACAATGCTTTCTCCTTTTCATGGGTTTAGGAGAGAACTCTTACAAGTCTCACACCTCTCTTGAATGATCTCAAAACTTAAAAAGGGAGAACTCTAGCACTTGTTTACAACACTTTTACACCCCAACAACTCAAGATTATCTCAATGTTTTCGTGCCTTTTCATGCAGAAAAGGATGAGGTTTTTATAGGCTCCAATGGCTTCAAAAATGGAGCCAAAAAGTGTCTAATCCCGAATTTTCGGGGTCCTGGCGATACCACCGCCATTACTGGGCGGTACCATCGCCTGACACCTGACACTGGGCGGTACCACCGCTGGCAATAATAACTGTCGGCGGTACCACCGCCCAGATTTCTTGGGGCACTGCTTTCCAAGCGGTGCCACCGCCGGCCAAGAATTCAGGGGCTGAATTGGGTGCTCAATTCGGCCCAATTCAGCCCTGTTAAGGGCCCAATTGGCCCCTAATTAAGTTAGTGGGATTACCTCCCAATCCTAACTTAATTTACGCTCTAACTATGACAATTAAGACATGTTTACTACACTTCTTGTTCCGATGCGTCAATTGCTCTTCCGGCGAGCTTTCGTCGTACTTCCAGCAAACATCTGACGAACTCTCGGCAATATTCCAGCGGACTCTCGGCAAGCTCCTGGACTTTACGACGATCTTCTTGGCAAGCTCGTGGACTTCTTGATTAGTTCCGACAAAACTTTCGACGAACTCTCGAACTCCCAACGTGATCTCAATCTTGACTCCGGCACAATACCTGCTTTATGTCTTATTGCTATCGTAGTTAATCTTGCATGCTTTCGGCATACTTCCGACGAACATCCGACGAACTCTCGGCAATGCTCCGGCACAACTCCTGAATTCTGACATTTTTGTTACTTTATTCTTATTAATTAGCTTGTTTGTATCTTGAAATGACTTGTGTCTCCTAATGGAGATTTTACTTTCCTGCAGGATCGTTCTCTTGACTTCCATGCATTATGTGCTCTATACGCAGTTACAGGTGATTGTTTACACCCTTGGAATTTGCTTTCAGTTGATTATGCAATGCATTTCTTTTCATGGTAGTTTATGGAGGATAAATAAGGAAACGACAATGATTCCTTTTGGCTACACACATCTTTATCTGTATGTAACATGTAAATATTAATTATTCTTATGCACAATTTAGTGGCCTGAAAATCTTAGACTGGCATTTCCTTTACCTGTGATGTAGTATTTTGGTTAATATTTCATCTTATTCTTTTCTTTGAGTTCTTGCATTGAAGTTCCACATTTATAGAAGTTCATAGCTTGTGCATATTGTTTTGGCTTGACTGCTGCCTTATTTTAACTTAATATAACATATTTACTCTAGTTCTCTTTATTTCACTTTCAATTGCTTTTGTTCATCATTCAATTCCATTTAACAAGTTTACATTTTCCATTTTTTTTCAGATGTGGCTTTAGTAACATCATTGAGAGATGGGATGAATCTTGTAAGCTATGAGTTTGTAGCATGCCAGGGCTCAAAAAAAGGAGTTCTCATTTTAAGTGAAGTAAATCTTGAATCTTGTTATCTAAAGTTTTTTTGATTTTCTAGCATTCAGTGATCTTAGTTTCTATTCTTACATCCTAGTTGCAAATTCAACTGCATTTACTGTTCTAACGGCAGGTTCCTTTTGTCGCTTGTTGCATACTTATGGAATAAGTTCCTCATGCATTAATGAGGCTGCCATGGCATCTTTTATGGTGTTATCATTTTTTTTTAAGATTTTGTTTCAGATGTTGCTTTACAGAACTAATCTACATCCAGTTTTTAATGGCTGCTTATGCATAATATCTATCAAGGCTATGAATTGCAAATAAGAGAGCTTGGTATTGACAGAACACTATGAGCACTATCCCAGAAAATCTGAGTGAAAAATCCCATTAGATATTTCCTATACATAGTTATTGGGAATTTCAACAATAATCTGTGGATTTTCTACAATTGATATTGTTTTCCAATATTAATTAGTGTTGAAACAAATGTTAAAATAAAAAAGTTCGAGTTCCAGTTTCCTTGGGTCCATTTATGCATGGTGAAAAACTGAAGACAGAAACTCTCTGCACAGAGTGAATTGTGTTGCTAGGTCCATCTGGGAAAACAGTTGGAGAAGTACTTGACCATATTCATAAGTGCCATTTTATGGAAGGGAGGTGATGGGAAAGATAAATGAAATGGAGTTTTGAATTTTGGATGCCCTTTGTATTTCAATACTTCTAGAGTTTCCAAGTGTAGGAAACAAAGAAACAGGGAAATTGTGCTATTATTTGTCTTACCCATTATTGTATATTGCAACTCTCGGAATCATCAGTTATTTTCCTTGGGTTCAATGTGTTCCACTTGCTAATTTAGCAATTCTCTTTCCATCTACTTTATCTTATGTGAAATTGACTTATGCATCTTTTTTTGTTCCCCTAATCTAGTTTGCAGGAGCAGCACAATCCCTAGGGGCTGGTGCACTTCTAGTAAACCCTTGGAACATTACAGAAGTTGCTGCTTCTATAGGTTATGCATTGGACATGTCTCCTGATGAGAGAGAGAAGAGGCACAGGCATAACTACGCCCATGTGACTACACACACTGCCCAAGACTGGGCAGAAACCTTTGTGAGGTGTGGGTTGGCCTAACTTTGAAACTTCTCTATCTTGTGTTAACATAAAGGATGTCACACAATATAACAACAGAGCTCAAACTTGTTATTAGGCTGGCATACCCACAATTTTTACAGCTATTTCAGTGATTTATGCAAATCATTAATGTATGCATATATTTTCCATAATGAAGTAACCGAAAAATATTTTTGTGTATATCCATGATAGCGATAATTGTGTTTAGCATCTGTTTTGTTGTTCTAGTTATCAGAATTATCTAATAGATACTAGCATTTAATAGCAATAGATATTAGCATTTTGTAGCAAAATATAGATTATATTTTTCGGTTCTACTCATCTAGAATCTATCGATTGTCTTTTCTGTTGCAATTTCTGTTGTTGACACCTCGTATCTTAGGATTGTATTCATCGTTGAAGGTAATTCATGAATCCATGTTGGATGCTTATATTCGGTTTAGTATCCAAAATTTATCTAAATATTTGACATTTTGAATAATTGTTAGAAAGATTGATACTTCACAAATACTACTTAGGGGAACTTTGGTTATCTAGAATTTTATTCTTTTTATTTTTGATATTTATACTATATTATTTGATTAGTCTTTGTGATTTATAGTAAGCATTAAATTTTGATTAATGAAATTAAAATAATTGTGTCATGCTGTTTGTCACAAGTTCTTAGCATCCTTTCTATATTCTTGGAAGTACTTTTTTGTTAGATATGTAATTACTTATTTCATGTTAGTATCTTATAATTGTGTCTATGTTTCATCATGAAGAATTTTCTCACTTGAAACTACTTAAGGGGCTTGTCGCTAGATGTAGAAGTCAAGGTTCACCTTACCAGTCAGAACCGGTGTATCGGTCAGCCGACGATATGATACGTACCACTCCGTACCAATGTACCATGAGTTGGTACGGGCGATAAACGACACAAAAAAACATGATAAAAAATAGCTCCAAAAATTCTTTTAAAATAAAAAAATAAGATTATGATTTTTAAGTTGAAAATAAATATAAATTTAGTATAATTTTAGCAAAAATATTCTTAATTAGGAAAGAATAGTAACATATATTTTTTTCAAACTTTAAGGAGTAACTTCATAATACGTTTCAGACTATCCTTTTGTTGATATTGAATTATCTACAAAGAAATTATTTGAATCATTAGGTTATTTGTTAAACAATTTAAACTTCAAGATTCAAATGAACCAAGTAATCGATCTATGGATATACCTTGTTCCACCACTAAAAAGAACGACGAAACTCGACGATGAACATATCAATTTGATGTGTTTGTCGGACCCAATCCTGAAATTGATCCTACAACATAGTATACTGATCCATCATATGCCATTGTGCATCAATGTGATGATGGTCATAGTTTGATTGTCGTGAACCATGTGTCCAAGGCGACTCCTGAGGTAAGTATGATTGAATATACCTTATTCAAGCATGTGTCTATGGATATGATCGAAAAACCCTTTCAAATGGATTTAATCGCTAGAAAGGGCCAAATCCAAGCCATCCGTCGGTAACAATCGAAATATGATCGTTATCGATAGGTACAGGTCGGTAACAGATAGATTTCGACTATTATTGAGTGATATACGCCCGTAATAGGCGATACAGAGTCGTTTGGTAAATACAAGGTGGTCCATGTATCGATTCCCTGTCAGCCCTATATGTACCACCCATACTTGGCATTATACCGTGGTACGACGAACCCTGGCAAAAGATAAAAATTATAAGCAAACCAATGTAATATGATGGTAAATTTTAGCTCACTGTGTTGTAAATAATTGGCTGAGTCCTGTTTTAAATGTCTAGTGGAGTGTCTTTTAGTTATGATAAATTTATATAAGGTCATCTTTTGTGAGCCTGTTTATGACCTGTTGCAATGGTGGTCCATGAACTCATCTGTATTGGCATTCAATATCCTGTCCAACATGATTCTTTTGTGATTTTGGTTGACTTTACAAAGACTAATTTCTTTAATCATTTAATTACTGCATACGATTTTTAATTACTGCAGAAACCTTTTAGTCGATTACAACATAGTAGTTCTTCTGAAGTCTACTATTAACTATAAGCTTATAACCTGTAATTTTTTTCTTTAGACTAAATGGTTCTTGCTTTATATTTGAGTTATCTTAGCATTTTTCATGTCATGCTGCATGCTTATAGCAAAACAACTATCATTTACTATGTTGTTTTTTTTCAAAATAACAATATATTGTCCGTTAGGGAGCTAATTTGAGGAACATATTTGCCTTTTTGTTTGATCAAGTTATCATCAGTTCTTTGTAGTTTCTTTCATGTTTCTATAAATTGTAAATCTCTTTGTTCAGAACATTTACATCTCCTTTGTAACCTATACATAAAGGCATGTTCTTTTTGCTTTTTGAGTTAGAGTGAACTAATTAAACTTTTTATCTTGTACTTATTTTGGATTATTTTGATTTTTGACCATTTTCTTTTCTTACTATAGTGAACTTAATGATACTGTTGTTGAAGCTCAGCTTAGAACAAGACAAGTTCCACCACTACTTCCTACCAATATAGCCATTGAGCGGTACTTGCAATCCATGAATCGATTGCTTATACTGGTATTCTTCTTCTTCTTGTATTTGGAGCTTTCTTGGAATAAATGATAAACTGATAAGCTGCTTGCCCTGGCTTTTCTTGTCTCCAACTTATTTTATGGATAGAAATCATAATTCCCTTGTTAGTCTCTGAAATATTCTGCTTATGTAGATGCTGACTTCTAAGCTCTTGTAGTGTGAACATTTCTAAAAAGCAATCAGAGCTTCCTAGATGTACATTGCTCTAATCGATTGCCAAGTTGTTCATACCAGCAGTTAAATTGTGAATTGCCAAGTTGTTCGATTGCCAACATCATCTGATCTTTAATATAAATTGTGAATTTTAATACAAGAAACATAAATTTTATTCTTCTGATCTATTCAACTGGAGCACCCTATCGATTTTTCTGTTACAATTCCTGTTGTTGACATCTCATAACCTACGATTTTATTCATCTCTATACCAAGTAAGGACTGCAATTTCATCCAAAACAGTAGGGTACCAGTCAATTTTGGGCTAAATCACTGTGGTATAAGGTGTACCAGCTGGTATGCCTAGTTTCCTACTGTTCGTGTTGGTACAGGCAGATTTGACTGTTACCGGCCGGTACTGGTCCAGTTTCTACCAGTACCAAGTTCCAACAGTCAAATTTGACCATTGTCCCACTTTTGGGGGTTATTTAACCCCCTCTTGGCTTTCTCCTCTCCCATTCTCATTCATTCACTCTCTCTCACACACTCTTTCTCACTCTTATTTCTCTCTTCCTGTACTTGTGGTGACAGTCAAATTTCGACCAGTGCCAAGTGCCAATGGTCAAATTTGACCAAAATTGACTACTGGCCCACTTTTAGGGGGTTGTTATTTAACCCCCTTCTTGGCTGCCTCCTCTCCCCCTCTAACTCTCACCCACTCTTTCTCACTTCTCACCCTCTTTCTCTCTCTTTTGATTTCAAATTGCAATTAGTGGAGGGTGATTTGGATTAAAGAAACTGGGAATCTCGAGATCGGATGGAAGTTGTCTTTGATTTAAGCTATTTACTTATGCCTGTTTGTTTTTTCATAATTTCATGTGATTAGCCTAATGATTATACCTAATGTCTTCGATTTAACCTAATGTCTACAACAATTAGTACTGCCAAGTATTATGGTAATAGATCAGTTCAGTTTTTGTTTTTAACTGTCTGTAATGCAAGATAAGGGAGCCATTTATTCGAATCTTAATCTAGCTTAAAGTTTAATAATAAATAGAAGTAACCTGTCATATGGCTATTGGCTAAAAATTGCTTGCTCTCTAGTTCTATAAGTTTATTATAGCACAATTATCAGTAACTTTTTTTTTGTTTCCATGGTAGAAATTTTACATGCGTACTCTTTTGATGTCTAACTTCTCAAACATGACTAATAGTTTTTGTAATGTTTGTTGTCTAATTTTAGGGTTTCAATGCAACATTGACTGAATCTGTTGAGTCTTCTGGAAGAAGAGGAGGTGATCAAATTAAAGAAATGGAGCTTAAGTTGCATCCAGAGCTGAAAGTGCCTTTGACAACTCTTTGCAATGATGCACAGACAACAGTAGTTGTTCTCAGTGGAAGTGACAGAAGTGTCTTGGATGATGTATTTCCTCATTATGGTTGTTTGATGTTTATTATCTATCTATCTAGATAACATCATTATTCTTTCACAGAACTTTGGAGAGTACAGTATGTGGCTTGCTGCAGAAAATGGAATGTTTTTGCGTCACACAGGTGGAGACTGGATGACAACAATGCCAGAGCATCTAAATATGGATTGGGTTGACAGTGTAAAGGTATTTATACTGTTGAGGCTTCCATTTCTTTCCTCACATTGTTTGATGAACTAGATTTGTAACTGACTGAAAGTTTGCAGCATGTGTTTGAGTATTTCACTGAGAGAACACCTAGGTCTCATTTTGAGCATCGTGAGACATCACTTGTTTGGAACTACAAGTATGCAGGTAGAGTATCATAACATGTTCAACTGGTCACTTGCCTAAAAAAAGTTACCTGCTCACAGTTTTGTTTGTGTTATTTCTCTTTCTTTCCTCAATTTTTTTTGGCAGATGTGGAGTTTGGGAGGCTTCAGGCACGAGATATGTTGCAGCATTTGTGGACAGGTCCAATTTCAAATACTGCAGTTGACGTGGTCCAAGGTAGCAGATCAGTTGAGGTTCGATCTGTTGGTGTTACAAAGGTGACATGGAAGAAAATTATGTTTTCTTTCATAAAAATTTCACAATATTTTTTGTATTGGATTAGTTGGTACATATTGGTTTTAGACGAATGTCTGGTTCTTTTCATGAAAGAATACATGTGCTGAAAATTAGTCAGCACTTCTGGGTTTGATATTTTACCTGCTGTTGGTATTGCAAAGTAAAATAGCATGCATTCATGTGAGGCTGATCATGTGTCAAATAGGTTACAGAAAACCATAACTGGTTGTATATTCACTTGTATCAATGATAAACTACAGAAGATGCAGCATTTTCTAATGCACTTTGCATCATTTAGGATTGTTGTAGAAGTTATTGCTGCAAAACAATGTTAACTTGGCACATGAGTATGGTTGTGTAACATCAATATGTAGGTATTAGCTAGAGGATCAAAAAAGCTCTAAACCTGTAAAGGTCATAATTTTTTATTTGATTCTTTTATGTACTTGTGCAGGGTGCTGCAATTGATCGTATATTGGGAGAAATAGTTCATAGCAAAAGCATGGTTACACCAATTGATTATGTTTTATGTGTTGGCCATTTTCTGGGGAAGGTAACTCATTCTTAAATAGTTGAGATTGCAGAATGATGTTTGGACGAAGATTTGCTTTTATTGTTGACTTTTTCTTATTGTTCCATATCTGCCTGATTATACGGAACGTTTTGCACCAAATTGCTTTGTTGTGATCAATGTGTCAGTTAGCATTAGTAATCATTGGGTTTTGTGAAGGCAAATGTGGTTTATAAGTGATAAGAATAGGCACCCTTTTCGGCCTTTTATCTTAATTTCTTGGGTTAGCAAATCCATTCTCCTTGCAAAACCAATCAACTCTGTGCAGGGCCTCCATTTTTTGGCGTTTGTCAAGCTTAACTTTCCATTTCTCCTGCTTTTGTAGTCTCTGAATTAATTATATATTCAGGTGGGAACAAGGTTGTGAAAAGATCTTTCCTCCATGTACTTCATGTGCTTAGAAGCTAAGTGGCTCCTGTCCAAGATTAATAATAACAGGTTACCTTGTAGTATTTAGTTATTGACTTCCTAACTATTGGTGTATGATAGAGTGGTACAATGGTTTTCTGTGCTTATAAGAAAATTGGATCCTTTGCTGTCTAGGTTTGATCTCCATCTAATCAAGTTAATCATCTGATACTGGATTATCTTTCCATTTGAGTCACTACATCATAAAAATCTATATCATTTTCTGAAGGGATCAGATTGGTTTGCTTCCAATTCATTGACAATCCTAGGGTGGAACGTGGCCTGTGGTTAGTTAGAGTGTAACAAAATCCATGTTCTATAGGGGTTGTTTCTATTATGAGTGTTGGATCTGACATCCAATGTCTGATGTGATGTTAGCATGTACATAGAAACATATCAGTTATGTTGTATAATACTGTATCTCAGCACTGAACATGAGATCTCTATAAAAGAAGTGTAATGTAGTAAATAGGTTAATCTTATCTTTTTGATAGTACGGTTAGTCTAATCTTTACAAGATATTTTCAATATAATATAAGATTGTATAGTTATTGAAAAAATGTAAATGTATTTCTTTTCTGATGATAGGCTTACCCTATTCACCCTGTTTTTCTTGCTATCGCTTAGAATCCTATCTAAGTACATTCGACTCCCCTAGAAATAGAGAAAGGCATTTTTCTCCAGTTGTTTGTACTATGTTGGAGAAAATTAGAAAACTATGAGAGGAGTAAATTAGAAAACTATGCACAAGTGTCAAGTCATATTCAGGGATCATTACAGATAAACTAAAGCTATGGGGAACCAACATTCTAAATTTAAACTTTATTGTACTTGATTTTTAATTATGTCTTGCGTCTTTTCTGGCTGCTGAAGTCGACATGTTTGGACTGGTAACTAAGTTTGGTGTTGCATATAGTTGTTGTTACTAGTTTTGTCTTTGCATGGTGAACATCTTGAGAAAGAAAAAAAGAACACAGTATTTCTAAAGTACTCTTCTTGCCACCTGATACAAATTTTAGATACCATAGAGGTAATGTTCATTTTCTGTTATCTAGACAATAACAGGACATCAAGTTGCCAGTGCTGCATTTGGGATCACTAACTAATGATGATTCTCCACTAGTGGTGAGACTTTAAATTATAGACTCAATCATATTGCATGGTGATGCTTCTGAAACTTCAGGGTATGATGTCACACTAGTAGTAGGTTAGTGGCAAACGTCTTCGGAATGTGAAATTTATACGTTTTTGGCTGTTATGTTTGGAGGCTTTTAACCCTATAGATCCATCCCTGAATATGACTTGACACTTGTGCATAGTTTTCTAATTTACTCCTCTCATTTTTTGCACGTGGACAGCACAATTTTAGAAATTGTTATTTAATAGGAAGATAGTTCTCTCTTGCAGGACGAGGATATCTATACTTTCTTTGAGCCAGAGCTTCCAGCCGAGCCTGCAAGTTCCACCAGAATGAAAATATCTGAGACCAGTAAAGCATCTCCAGACAAGAGGTCTACTGGAAGATCATCAAGCATTAGGAACAACTCAAGGATGTCACATGTTAGGCCTCAAAGGGCTCCAGTTGGATCTGAAAGGAGGATGCCAGCAAATCATAACATCCTGACCGGATGGCGATCTCCGCAAGAGACCATGTCATGGCGTGAAGGGTCATCGGTGCTTGATCTCAAGGGTGACAACTACTTCTCTTGTGCTGTCGGGCGGAAGCGTTCAAATGCAAGGTATCTGCTAAATACATCTGATGATGTAGTGGTCTTCCTCAGAGAGATGGCTGAGGCAGCTTGTCAAGGTTCTCTTGCTGCATTATTTTAACCAAGGTTTCTTTTATATCTGACGTTTGTTAGATGCTAATTGAACATCATAAGAGCGTACCTGTACATGATATCATCAATCATAGTCATCAATCCAGGAGAGTTAGGATAGTGAGGCCCTGTTGTTCTCTCTCTCTCTCTCTCTCTCTCTCTCTCTCTCTCTCTCACGTGTCTATACGGGTTTCTTTTATATCTGACGTTTGTTAGATGCTAATTGAACATCATAAGAGCGCACCTGTACATGATATCATCCATCATAGTGAGGCCCTGTTGTGCTCTCCGGTGATGCAGCTAATTTGGAAAAAAGGCTGATGATTGGAAGCAAATCTCTCGCACCTCAACAGTAGTTGTAATTCTCAAGATCGGCAGATTGGTTTCGGTAATCATTACCTTGATTGTAGTAACGCTGAAACAGGTTTACTGGACTAAAGGGCTCCTCCGCCCCCATAAACAGTGGTACCACCATCATACTAGCAGAGCAGTGACAACGACATCCAACTGCGGCTCCTCTCTTTGCAAAGGTGGAGAATCTGGTTTAGGAAGCACCCGTCACCCAACCAGACCAGTCTGCACAATCTTTAACAGTGTGCATGACGCAAGATAAGGAAAGATGCATACGGATGGTAACACAGAGTTGAATTCCTTAAAGAGTTGAACCGGGAAGCATGCATGATCAAGGGAGGGACGTGTAAAAAGGTAATCGCAAGCTCGAAAGGAACCACCAACATAGACGATGGATGGTCCATGGGGGACGAAAGATAACTGCACTACCTGGTGAAAGATGGGCGAAACATACAATTAGGCCGTGCCATTTGCCTCTCGTAGGTACCAAGTCGCGATACCAGAGAGAGAATGATTGATGATCGTCCATCATTAAGAAGGACCGTCGTTTAAATGGTCCTGACATAATACATGATGGAGCTTATTGCACTAGAGGGACCGACCGGCTGGGAAGATTATTCAAGCGAAAGCACAGGAGACACAACTGGGAGTCATTGACCTTTCCCGCATATAATAATTGATCTTTCCAACTTAGTGGTACCTAAGCCAGACCTTAGATTCGTCTCAATCACATTCTTTGTCAGAGCTTCACCTTCGCCTTCACCCACCAAGGCTCCTCCTTGATATGGATTGCCATTTGACGCTGGGTGGAGTCTAGAAGTTGACTCGAACAGTACAAATCAATAAGACAAAGAAAACATGTACAAATTAGTATGGCACAAGTACTCAATTCTTCTAAGATGGAGAGACGGAGAGCTAGTGGATGTCCGCGTCGGATCTCATGGCCGGGATGGGACGTCGTATCCATCGCGGGCATGCGCACCCTGCTCCGCCCGGCAGATGGCGGTGGCTTTTTTATGTTTGCTTCTCGGTAGTTGCAAGAGCTGCTTCTTCTTGGACGCTTTCAGAAACTCGAAAGGAATCCCTTCACCTTCCGCTGCTGCTCCACTCACCCTCCCCGCACAAAACGGAATCAAGTTCCCAGAACTGACAAGGAAATAGATCCTCAAACCGTAGTCAAATCAGTACTCGTCCCGTCGCCCTACGACTTGTGCCAACTTGAGGAGTCACCATCGAGATCGAGCTAAATCGATTCTCTAAGGCGACTCAGCTAAGTAACGTTGCAATAGGTTTCAGTTCCTGTGCAGAATTACGGCAGTGTGTTCCTGAGGTACGGAACAGCAGAGACAGTGGAGCCTTGTCCGTCGTTGATACCATAACGCTAATCCCCGAGTTGCTGGCACACGTACTCCATGATCGGTACTGTCTCAAGTAAATATGAAGGATGATGAGCACAGCGTCAAGTAATAGTAATACAGATGGTTGTACCAAAAGGTTTGATCTCAAAGCCAATGATCGACCGCTGCTGACGGCCTTCTCCATTTACTCCTTCCAAAACTGTCGAAGATACCGATTCGTTTCAGCGTGAGTTGTTGATGCTTTCCACACTCTGTCCCCATCTTCTCCCTCCTATATATAGAGCACCAGTCTAGTCCAAGGGAGACCAAGAACGTGAGAAAGAAGAAGAAGAAGAAGAACGATGAGAGGGCCTTCTCCCTATCTTGTTCTACCTGTCTTTTTCCTCATCTTTTGCTTCACCGCTTCCTGCAGCGAGCAACGCCGGGTAATTAGGATGGTTTCTTCCTTGGATTGTCTTAGTTTAAGCACGGTAATGTATTCATACCATTTCTTGGGCAGGTGTATATTGTGTACTTAGGACAGCACAACGGACTTAGAACCGGCCAGGAAATCCTAGAAGACCACCATTCCCTGTTGCGCTCTGTTAAGAACAGGTGCACCGATTCGAAGTCAACCTCATCCTTTCTTCTTCTTCTTCTTCTTCCTTCTACTACCCGAGTCTCTGATTCGTTTCGACTCTCATCAACTTTGAGCAGCGAAGAAGAGGCGCTGAATTCCTTGGTGTACAGCTACAAGCACAGCATCAATGGCTTTGCTGCATTGCTTACTGAAGAGGAAGCAGCGAAGCTATCTGGTGAGTGCTTTGTCTCAGTCATGTCTCCAGCTTCGTCTTCCTGTATGTAACCTTGGCTTTTTGTCACCAGCGATGGAGGAGGTGGTTTCTGCCTTTCCAGGTGAAGCGAGGTGGTCTCCACACACCACGAGGTCTTGGGAGTTCATCATACAGGAAGAGGGACTCCGAGGTTGGGAGATGGAGTGGATGACCTCAAAAGCGAAGCTTGGGAAGGAGGTCATCGTTGGCGTGGTGGATTCAGGTTCGCTCGGTTAATGATTTGATGTCTCACTCTCTCGTCCGAGAGGAGGAACCGCATGCTCTGCAACTTTCCATGATTGCTTACTTTAGGATTCAAGTCAGAATAGTACATGTTGGCTTGGACGGCACATCTGCATGTCTCTCCGGTAGGAGAGCTGAGAGGGCCGAGTTCTCAATGGAAAGGCTTTGCTTTGCTTGGCTTGACAGGTGTGTGGCCGGAGTCCCAAAGCTTCAGTGACGCAGGGATGGGTCCCATCCCAGAACGGTGGAAAGGCATCTGCCAAGAAGGTGATGCCTTCGAGTCACTCAATTGTAATAAGTGAGTTTCTCTCTTCTTTTTATCTCTTTTTCTGTTTACGTCGAGAAAATGATATATTCGACTCTACAATAAGTGTGTCTCTCTATCCCTCTATTTTTCTCTTTATGTCAAGAAGGTGATATCTTCAACTCCTCTAATTATAATAAGTGGATCTCTCTCCTTTTTTTTTTTTTTTCTCTCTCTCTCTTTTGTATAAAAAAAGATGGTACCTTCGACTCCTCTAATTATAATAAGTGAATCTCTTTCTCTTTTTCTGTGTCAAGAAAGTGATGTCTTTGACTCTTCAAATTACAATAAGTGAATCTCTCCCCCCTCTCTCTCTCTCTCAAGAAAGTGATATCCTCAGACTTCTCCAATTGCAATAAGTGAATCTCCCCTCTCCCCTCTCTCTATATGTGTTAAGAAAATAATGTTTTCAACTCTTTCGATTACAATAAGTGAGTCTCTCACCCCAGTGCCTCTCTCTCTCTCCGTCAAGAAGGTGATATCTTCTGACTCCTCCAATTACAATAAGTGAGACTTTCCCCCTCTTTCTCTCTCTCTCTCTTTGTCAAGAAAGTGATTCGTTTGACTCCTCTAATTGCAATAGGTAAACCTCTCCCCCCCCCTCTCCTCTCTCTCTCTCTCTCTCTCTCAAGAAAGTGAAGGTGATACTCTCTCTCTCTCCCTCCCCTCTATCTCTCTTTCTCTCTCAAGAAGGTGATGCCTTCAACTTCTCCAATTGTAACAAGTGAATCTCTCCCCCCCCTCCTCTCTCTCTCTCTCTCTCTCTCAAGATGGTGATGTCTTCGACTCCTCCAATTGTAATAAGTGAGTCTTCGCCTCCTCTCTTTCTCTCTCTCTCTCTCTGCCAAGAAGGTGCCAAGAAGGTGATGCCTCCGACTCCTCCAATTACAATAAGTGAATTTCTCTACCTCCCACCTCTGTGTGTGTCAGTGATGCCTTTGACTCCTCCAATTACAATAAGTGAGTCGCCCCCACCCCCCCCCTTCTCTCTTTCTCTCTCTCTCTTAAGAATGTGATATCTTTGACTTTTTCAATTATAATAAGTGAATCTCTCTCCCGCATCCTCTCTCTCTCTCTCTTTGTGTCAAGAAGAAGATGTATTTGACTCCTCGGATTGTAATAAGTGAGTCTCTCCCCTTCTCTCTCTCTCTCAAGAAAGTGATGCCTTCCACTCCTCCAATTACAATAATTGAATTTCTCCCTCCCTCTCTCTCTCTATCAAAAAGATGATTTGCTCGATTCCTCTTATTATAATAAATGAGTCTCTTTCTCTCTCTCTCTAAGGTAATATTTTTGACTATTTCTCTCTATCAAGAAGATGATGCCTTCTACTCCAATTGTAATAAGTGAATCTGTCCCCACTCTCTCTCTCTCCCTTTCTCTTAAACTAAGATTCCATCTAATCGTAAAGTTCAATTTGATATTTCGTTCTCTTTGCATAGATTGGACCCGTAGATTAGGAGAGTAGCGATTGCATCAATTCTTTTTGTCTTGAAGAGAAATATGAGAGGAGCACTCCTAAAAGATTCCTTAAAAGAGCACCATCAAATCAAATCAATTTCTCTTATCTCAGAGAAGATGGAGGTGAAGTAGGAGCTGGAAAAGGGTTTTACTACTTCTTAGGATCAGAAAGATTCTCTCTTGACTTGCTAGTAGAAAGAGACCCTTCCCAAAACAAACAACCAAGATGTGATTACTCTACGGAGAAGAAGCACCCGTGAACCCCTGCACGGGACACACACAAGATGATCACCTTCCTCACTGACATCCAAGAGGAAAAAGAAAGAAAACTCTGGATCGAAACTACATGAATAGAACAGACATGATAGGCTGGCTGGCCATCTAAATTATTTGCCACAGCTCGGCGGCTTCCTGCTGATAGGACACCTTTGTTTGTCCGACTGCGAGCGCCGGACTCTTGTGGCTGTTCGAGCCTGGCATCTTCTTGGGAATCAATGGCCATCCAACTGGTCCTTGCAAATATATATATATATATATATATATATATATATATATA